TGCCCTTTCCTTCCACATCGCAGACATACGCCGTCTGCTTTCCGTTTGTTTAACTCAGTTTGTGAAACCCACTTTGCACGGACTTTGTTGACACCGGTCATCCTTGTGTCCCCATCTAAATCCTTGTTATTGGCAATATCTCTATTTGCTGGGTGATAAGGGGTTCCTTGCAAGGTTCCTCCGAGTAGTTTACCACCAGCAATTCCTCGTGTTCCATCATCAAAATACCCAGCCTGACCGAGTAAGTATTCTTTTGTTCTTGTCATACCAACCTCCTCAATTTCCGAACCTAGTGAAGACAGATATTCAACGAGTTCACGAAAGGTTTGTGGTTGCAAGCGACCGATCATGTGTTTTCTTGTGGTTTTATTGAGCGAATTCCGAAGCTGGTACATCTTAATCTTATCATCTCCCGTAGAGCTGGGGCTTCGCGTGAGTAATTGCTGAAAACGCGGTAGGTAAGACGACAAGCTCTCATCCCTGAATTGTCGGCATGCATGAAATAGCGCAGCCGCCGATTGTTCTTCGTTTCTATCGCGATAGGTGTCGTCCATGGCCTGTAATAATCCCAAAGCGTCCCATATTGCATCAATTGCAAGCATGTGTTGAAATTGGCCGGTGACCATGTCCTTGGCAGTCCCTGTCACCGCGTGGCTATACAGCTGCTTGAAGAAATCTGATGGTTGCAAGATGTGTCGTTCCTCTACATTGCGCCGGTAAATATATCGAAGTATTCCGTGTGTGGTTGCCCATTTGCTCCTATCCTTATGATCGTAGGCTTCCGGCCACTTAAGTGGTTTTTCCTTGCCGGAGAGCTCCCTTCGTTCGGGTTGATGATTGTCATTAGCTTTAGTTGGTTTCAGGGGTACCTGGCCTTCACCCTGTGATTTTTCCTGCATCAGTAGCATCATCTGACTCATTTGAGATTGTAACATCTCCATTTCCCTTCTATGATCCATGTCTCTTCTCCTCATCTCCTCGACTATCGTCTCCATGTCCATTCGTGGTTTTTCTTGTGGCATTGATTCCTGGTCAGACAAACCAGATGCTACTAAGTCCGTTCCGATGTTAAGTTTATTCATATCTGGACCCGTTACCAGTTCTTCAAATCCCTGCGCTGATTTGAATGAGATCCTACTTTGACGACTTGATCGTCCAGAGCTAGATGCCTCGTCTGTTGATGTTGATGGTAGAGCAAACGTTGGCATCAACTTCCTGTACAACCTCAACTTGATTAAGGTGCTTACTGATAAACACCTTTGATTATAGGATGCCCTAATTCACTGTCAACTAGGACTGCGGTATACTTAATGACGGGCAAACGATGAATTGATACAGTTTATATTGTGACGGGAACCCCGAGTTGGTGATGATAATGTCGATTTAATAAACTGTATAAAGAAGAAAGAGAAATCTAGCTACAACTAACGGGTATTTATAATATTCAGCCTCTCAGTGATTGTCTTGACTGATTTCTTCACCCTAGGCCCAATACTTGCCACCCAGCCACATATTATCAAGAATCACTACGCTGTGACACTGATCTGGCCCCTTGGCTGGTAGTGCCGTATCTTCCAGTTTCCTCTATCATTTCCTTACAGTCTTACAACATGAATCTTCAACAATACGCTTAGGTATCCACATAAGCTCGGACAACGGCCAAACCGTAACAGATACTTAACATAGGAAATACCGCGTCTGAAGCAGTGGCCGAAGCCCAGAAAGAAGTCGACAAATTAGTTCAATTAGCGAGTGAAAATAGGATAGACTTTGACCCGACAAAGTCTGAACTACTGGTAATTGGGGGAGGACCAAAGAAAAAGCTAGATACCTCAGGCTTATCCGTTCAGATCCAAGGCCACAGCGTACCTACATCCCCGTACGTTAGATGGCTGAGAGTATGGCTAGACTCTCAGCTCAACTTCAAGCAACACGTTCAGGAATGGTGCGGAAAGGCACATCGTATAACACAGTTTATACGTCGAACAAATTCCGTACAGCGCGGCGCAGCCCCAAGACCTATGATCAAAGTAGTGCAGGCTTGTGTCTTTAGTACAGCGCTATATGGAGCAGAAGCGTGGTGGCCAGGGCTCACCCGAATCACAACTCAGCGGGGCAGAAAGGTTGGTACAGGAGTAGGCTGGCACACCGATCTCCTTGACAGCACAATCCTGAAGGCAGTTCGAGCGGCGCGACCGGTGTGGCGAACTACACCAAATATGGCGTTGCAAAGAGAGTCGGGCATTCCCCCGTCTGCTGTTATCTTACAGCAGAGAAAAATACTAGCGGCCGCACCGATTCAAAGCTTGGACGACTGGCATCCATTAGTATTCAGGTCTAGAGAGGATCCAAAGGACACACTAAGCCGCCTCGGTCTCCGCATAAGCCAGAAGAACCGGCCATTCAAGTTCCCAGAACGGTACCTCACGCGACTTCAGATCAGCGCCAAAAATGTGCCAAAGGCCGAAGGACCCGGAAAATTATACTTCCCAAAAGCCGAGTCCATAAGAAAAATTACTGGCAGTGACTTTCAGGACGAAGCAGATTATGCTAAGCAATGGATAGCAAGCCTGTCGGCCGAGACAGTTTGCGCTTATACAGATAGCTCATCATGCGGACCAGCTAGTTCGGCATGGGGGTACACCTTATACAAAGGAGGCTAGGTGATTGGGAGTGACTCTGGTCCTTTGCTGGGGGCGGAGGTTTACGATGCCGAAATCTTTGGGGCCCAAAAAGCCCTAGAAAGAGCCTTAGGAAAAGCAGGCAACTGCCCGATCGAGGTGCTGCTTGACAACACTACAGCCGTGAGAGCTCTAAGAACCGGTGAAACAAAATCTTCCCAGGAAGCAGTGGAAGTATTTACGAGACTGGCACGACAAGCTAGATCAGTTGAGATCCGATGGATACCAGCCCACGCTGGGATCATGGGGAATGAAGATGCAGACAGACTGGCTAAGGAAGCCCTCAGGAACCTACCGGATGAAACGGACACATCCCCCTCAGAAATGAGGGACAGACCTAAATACACTTTCGCTGCCCTCACTCGGTTTGTCAGGCAAAGATGTGATGAAGTAGTGGAGTCCTGGTGGCGAGATCACAGACCGAGCAGCTACGAGGAATTGGATCCCCAGATGAAACGAAAACGTCCGCCGGAACTAGCACTTCCAAGGTGGGCGCATCACCGCCTTATTGCAGCAAGGACGGGAAATGGTGATTTTATAAAATATCATGAAAGATTTGGCCACGAATTTGAAAACTGCGAATGCGTGTGCGGAAGAGAGAAACACCCTTGGCATTTTGCCGAATGCCGAATTGCTCTACAGCAATGAAGAAACCTAAAGCATGAACTCTCAGGGATGAGGGTTTGATAGTGTTCCACGGGGTGCGTTGTATAGCCTAGTAAAGATCTAGGTGGTAAGTGAAGGTTGTAAATGGGTCAAAGGAATGACAGGTCTTCTCTAGGAAGAGATGAATGGGCAACTAGTTGCAGTAGGTGTTACACGTGGGTCTTGCTGATGAAGAACTGAGCAATGGATAAATGGTCTTCCCGAAGAAGAGATGGGTAAACAAATGTATTGTAAAGGGTAAATAAAGAAGACGTTGCGTGAGGAGTAAATCTCTCTCACGCCGAACTATTATATACAAGAGTAGAAGCCTTTGCCAACCGGAATTAATCGTAATCAATTCTTGCCAATATCTTCGCATTAATGGCTGTGTTCTTGTCCTTCTCTTCATGACTCTCTTGCATATCCTTACATGACTTTTTACACGACTAATTGTATAGGGGAAGCTATTATTAAATTGATGTCTTTAATTAACTACCCCTTCATCTTATCACGAATTAAAATTAGTATTAAAATTCTAATTACGGATCCGTGAAATGAACCACCACCGAGGGGACGGGAGATACTGGCAGAAAAGGGTTGGGAAAGATTTCTCCAGTTCTTAACAGTAACTAAGTGTTACGAGAGGCAAACACTACACCGGGAGGATTAAGTCCTGCCGAAATAGAAGTTTTTCAGGACAAAGAGTCGTGAGGAAGGAGGAAAGGTGCAGGGCGCTTAATTTTCTTGGAACTAATTTCTTTATTTATGTTTTGCGTATAGATTTGACAAGCAAACTATGTACTTAGGTTGTAGTGTGTCCCGAGGGAGCATAGACCTGTATCACGCCTATTGGGTGTAGGGCGTAAGCCTGATACGAAATGAATTCAAATCAAATCAAATCCCACATTGTTGTTACATAAAAAATTCAAAATTTCAAATTAATAGCTAAACACCAAGCTCCACATTCCTCAAGTCATTTTCCACTTGTATCCGTCCTAAATTTACGAACTAATCCTTCTAAATCAAGAATTACGAAATGTCTCAATTTCCCGAAATATTTGCGGAAGATGCCAAGATCTCCGTCGAACACATTTTCAAGCAATTTTGAGACAACTATGTGGCAGAGGATTTAAAGCTTAGTATTAATCACCTACATGCTGGTTAACTTCAGCTAACAGAATAGTTGTAAAAAAGTTCTTCGATGATTTATGCATATACACGTCTTATTTAGATAATGATAACATGAAGAAACTGAGTAAACTGTTCAGTGGAACCGTCATAGAAATCTCAGTGAATTTGATTGACCTTGATCGATTCTATCAACTTATTAGGGACATACTAGATGAGAATGAGATGTACGATATATTAGAAAACACCATTAGACTTGCTGAGACCATATGTTGTAAACAGAGTCTCCTTCAACGAGATGAACGATCTTCATCTGTAATTAGGACCTATCCCAACAAATTTGTGCAAGATACCTCAGAGTTAAATGGCTTCAATAGGTCCGCAGATACTATCGTTCAAGCGATGCGTTCCGAGCTTCAAGATTAAATATTCTCTGGCATCACAAATTTTTGGGATGTGTTTTTCGAAGGAAAAGTTTGGTCCCAGCAGACTTCACGCATTTGGGAATGTTATCATATATACGAAGAGCGTAAGAAAAAATATCGAATGAGATCGAGCCAGAACATCATAGTTCTAGAAGAAAAAACGTTTAGGGGACGAGTGTGGGAATGGCTTCATTTTTTTAGGGACAAATTTTTGAACCAGCTCAACGGACCTATAGCAGAGCCTTTGGAAAACTGTAATCTCTTTATAGACGAAGTCGGCTCCGAACTGCGCGTGAAGTATTTTCTCGTAAAATACGTGCAAAGCATGGTCGGTACCGATGCCAATGTTCAAGTTGACCTCCTTGTTCATAGTGTTGATTTTTCTGAGGGGAATCAGCCTCAATGGAATGACGTGAAAGTGGTCGGCGAGTTCATGAAAACGGCTGACACAAATGCAAGGAAAGCGAAATTTCTCCAATTATCCACATACGTTCGGAAAATATTTTCTGCACAGCCCTTGCGGCGGTTTATACATTGCTTCTGCTTGTTCAAATCATATTTCGAACTCTGGATATTTGATCGCACGGGCGCATACAGCTCGGGCGTTAAAAGTATAGGCAGTGTAAAAGAGATGTTTGTTCAAGCGATAAGCTCGTATTTGTTAATGAGCGATGAAGAACTTGGCCTCGACTTGTCTACCAGTCAAGTCGGCGAAAATGGAGTTGTCACAATAAATGGAAGCAATGAAGATCCCACCATGCAATTTAAGATCGACCCTGAGCCGATTGTCCGACCCCAGAGACTGATAACTCGAGGTACCACCTGCTTCGAGACCGTAGATAAATTATCTGTGGTCAAGTACGCATGGACCAGTGTGAAGGGTAGTTCTATAATCGACTTTCTCGAAGTCGCACTGCCAGTACGCGGCATGGTCAACTACCTAACGTCGGATGAAGTCTATCGGTCAAGTCACCACTTGGGAAGCTTAGATTTTACCGATGCTGACGCTTGGGACTTAGAGACAGAAACTCTGATCATATCCAGGGCCACAAAACTAATGCAACCGACTGTTAGCCCGTGGGATAGGGATCTCAAACTCATCAGGATTGCCATCTCACTACCTGGTCGACCCCTGAAGGCCAGCAAGACGGTTCTTGAATTTCTTGTCGGGGTTCGGGACGCAATCTTGGGTCATCGACGCCTACATGATCGGGGCATCCTACATGGCGATATCTCGGAAGGCAACGTAATCTTGACATTGCCAACTGCACGTGACGAATCAAAGGGATTGTTGATTAACTTGGACCACTCCGTCGGGATGAGCGAGAGTTTGCAAACAGATGATGACCAAAATTTAATAGGCACGATGAAGTTTATGGCACTCGAAAGATTATATTATGTTTCAGAAGAGAAGTCTATAATCCCACGCACGTATTGCCATGACCTTGAATCTTTTTTCTATGTGTTCCTCACCGGATGTATAGAATATGAGCTCGTACCTCAGTCCAAGTCATATGACCTGCAGAACTGGTGCACGTCCAAACTCGACAGTAACTATGCATTTAAAGCTAGCCATAGGAGGGCAAGACTGAACACCTGTACGCGGTGTCCTCTACGAACCTGGGAGTGAAATATTCTCCCAGAGCCAAGTTCAGTCAAATTTCGCAATATCAAAGAAGTTGGCCCACGAGGCAAAAATTCAAACTACTCCACCATGTCAATCTTTCACTCCCAAAGAGTCCGATTCTCAACTAAGCTTCATCAAGTCTACAAGTACGACCTAGTACATCCTCGTTTCAATGACCACACCTCTCGTCGACTTTCTCTGGCCTCAGCCGGTCACCAAATACACGCCCACGCCGATATTTATACCCGACGGAGGAAGCAAAGCGTGGAGCACAAATCTGGGAGATAGCTCTTTGGGATGGACGTGAGAGGAATCAGGACAAGTTCACAAGATGATGCAGAAGAGGGATACGTTTTCGACGGGCGTGGAATTTTGAATTTTGGCAAGAGTTTTACAAATTGAGCTTTGTGCGCGCCAAGACTTCGCTTGCGAGAGTGCAGCTGACACTATAAAAATAAGCAAACGATGGAAGGTGTTGTGGTCCGCCTCCTGGTGATGTTCTCTGGTATGGTTTGAGTAGCCTGGGCACCTACTCCACTTGGGAAGGAGACATCTCAGATTACATTTCGCGCGGAGAAAAGTTGATGGATGACGGAGGCATGTCTGGATAACTCAGGGTTTTTGAGACGTTCCCCTGGGTGGGTATTCACGGATGAGGGTTGACTTGGGGTGAAGAAAAAGCCACCATAACTTCGCAGTGGTACTTGCAAATGAAATCCGAGGCATGAGTGCTCCTCTTGTAAATTGAGTCATCTTTTCTGTACTTTTCTTTGATATTGTGTCATAGCTAGATAGCTGCATACGCAATTAAAATCTGATGCAAAAAAAAAAAAAAAAAAAAAGCTAGCCATATCAATAATTTCGAAAAGATTGTTTTAAAAAAGTTCACGCCCAGCTTTGTCGGCCTTAAGGAACTAGCCAAGACCTTAAGGATGATATTGTTTGGCAAGTATGGAAATGATTTTGGGACACCTCATGACTGTCGTCCAATGTACTATGAAATCATAAAGTCGTTTAATAAAACTATCGAGCAGATTACAGGTAAGGTATATTTGTGATTAAATAATAGTGCTGTTCTCCTTGACACAAGCCTGACTGACGAATCTCCAATTACTTAGAAAAATCAGTTATCGATAGTAATTTCAAGTTACGAGAATGACAAGGCAGTATGGAGTGTTACGGGGTTACCCACTAATTGTCGTCTAGGCTAACCTATGTGAGCAGTCTTGCATATAATTCGGACATGGCGAAAGGCTGGGCTTTTAGCACAGAACTAGTTCCCTCAATAGTGCTATTAACAATTAATAATTCATTTTATTGTCCTGTCTTAGTCTATAACTATATAGGACATGCAAGTCCTCTCTGCCTACAGGCCAAAGATACCTATACCAGTAGTATATCCCCTCCTATGCCTCCCATACAGCTCCCCTCAAATATTACCACCCCTCAAAAGCTCTCATTCGTTCATACACTTGGAGGAGCCCTTTGTTCTTCATTATCTCCCGTCTTCAGCCAACCAAACGATGATCATTTGTGGGTGTATAGCAGCCGGGAAAATTCGCAAAAGCCAATGGGTGCGGAGCTCTCCTAATACCGACATTAGGACTAGATCCAAAGACATAGTGATCCTTCTGAAGCATTCGAAGAGTTTAGCCAGCTGGGCGCTGCAGACGTGTGAGTACCTCTGAGAATCCACTCTCTGCCTTTCCAGCCTCCTTCCAACTCCTTCCCGAAGGTCGTGCTGAAATGTCAGAAAAGTCTTGACACAGTGTGATTGCTGTATAGTAGCTTAGCCTAACTTCTTTTGTGCCGTCCAGGGCGCTGGGGAGTGCCGTTGACTCATCGACAAAAGAAGCCCTCCTGGCTAATTAGCCGAAATCTTGGTCTTGGCGCCCACAAAAGATCCAAGGTTGAAAACTCCTCGAAAATGTCAGTCCCAGCATGGTCTTCAGAGACCTCTTTCCCCTCTCGCTCTACATCTCAGCAGCCTGTCCCTCCTCAAGATGTATAACCCCACTAGAGCATTAGTCCCCCATGAACTAAGATCTCAACTTTGTATACTATGACTTGATTTCCTCCTTGCTGGCATACGTAGTGCCGTAAATTTGTAGTGAGTGATGGCTGGTAATCAATGAGGCAAGCTCCTGTTTGTAATTGGGTTGACGTCTTTACAGGTCGTTGAGGCGAGATGATGCATAGTTAGAGAGAGGTTGAGGTATCAGATGAGTGTGGTATGAGAGGCATTGCCGAGAAGCCGTCAAATGAAGATATGTTTGTGGTTGCTTTCGACTTTGATTCGAATGCGATCCTTCTTGGCTATCCCAGACATGCAGAGCATACTGAGCGATTACACCGGCACCACTGGAAGGTGAAGAATTCGTCTTTGTCGGCTGCAGGACTGTTAGGATTACGACAAATTTTAGTATCAATTCCTGGACGAGGGTAAGACGTACGTCAATGAAATTAGGGTTATCTTCCAGAAAGAGTTCAGTGTAACCTCGAATTTCTGGGTGTAAGTTGTTTGTCACCTCTTCGCGAGACATTCGTGCTTTCGGTTGAAGAGCTTGTACAATATCATCGGTAGATACTGAACCGATCCAGAATCATTTATAGTTTCTTAGGATCTTGTCAAATGTAGCTCCGTCAATTAATTCAATTTGGTCAATTTCAATATATGCTACTCGATTTTGCACAACAGCTGGTGAGCCGTGCTCATACCAGCCACTTTCTCTCACAATCATCCCGGTTTTCCTAGATCCAAATCTTAAGCAACGTCTCATGGAAAGATAAATTACGTTATTCTTTTCCATCCAAGATTTACCAAGGATAATTGGGTGCGGAAGTTTAGGCATCACGTAGCCCCACAATTTTTCTAGACGGCCACAATATCAAGTTCTGTTACAGCGTGCTATAGGGTAGATCGAGATCTCCGTTCGCCGAGGGTATGAAAAGGTCAAGTGGTGAATACTAGAGAGGTAGGAAGTCGACGAAGTACTATGGCTAGAAGGAAGCGGGTTTGCGAGAGGAATACTGTAATAATATTATAAGATTGTGAAGCTGGAGAACTACTTTGTTGTAGCTCCAGCTTCCTTAAGTACAAATAACTATCTAACGTAATTCAACCAAGACTGTTGTAATTTCCCATCATGACTCAAACTGTGACCTCAACCATATCAATTCCAGTTGGCGCATTATCTAATCTCACCATATAAGTGCAAGTGTTGAGGGTGAGCCGAACAACCTGTTCCGTGAATTTTATCCTCAGGCATTCTGCTTAGACTCTGGTTGCAGAATGTCTCGCCTTGACAAGTTCTATACATACAACTATCGAGAAATTAGCAACGTTTTTTTCAAATCGGCTAATGTTAGTGACCGGCCGCGAATTTCATGGGTTTTAAGATTATCTCTGCGCACAAGGCTTTCATCGAATCCAGAGTTACAGGGACAGCCAGTGTGAATTAGAGATTTTGAATAGAATGATTTATGAACTAGACAATCAACTAAAATGGGGAAGTGTGCATATTTTTCAATACTCTTTGTATGATACTTTTCTCAGATAAGCTCTTGTCGGATACCCTCGGCGCGACTTTGCTCAGGGCTCTTCGTCTCCCGAATCAGAGTGGTCAGAGAGCGAAGCACGTTCGACTCTATTAGATACCCCTGCAACAGAGCCGTCACTTTTTCCCGGTCGCTTCGCCGCCCTGGATTTTGTACCGTCTTTGCCTGTATGTCCTTCTCCCTCGCACCGAGTACAAAATCTTTTATCAATTAGCTGGGGATAATCATTTTTAGCACGCCGTTTGGCGCAAGGCTTCTCGCTATAGTATTGATGGCGTTTCTGGGGGGATCTGGGACCTACATTGGCCAGACTTTTATTACTCTTGTTCATAAGTTTAGCTATGGCTGTGAGAAGGGAATTAGTTCCGCCCATTGTTATATCTCCCTCGGCGTCAACCCGTGATGTTGAAGAGGCTGGAAAAAGATTATCTCCTTAAGGACTTCCTATTTTCGTCTTGGTCTGAGTTGGGTTTTTCGGAAGATAGTCATCAAAGCCCTCCAACTTAGCAGTTATCTCTTTCACTCCTGCTACCCAAGAGTAATAATTCTCAGGTGAATGTAACTTAACACCCAAGAGCACTCTTCGAAGGCGGCGTATTATTGAAGACTTGAGCCGCATTGTCTGATTGGTTGTAGTACAAGTCATATAGCCTCCACTTTTTACCATTTAATGTTCAAAATACTTCCAAAATTCAATGAAATATTGATGTTCGCCTTGGTCCATACGTTATTGGGTCCTGTGCGTAGCTTGCTGGGCCTGTGGATCTTGAAATTCCTTTGGCAAATGGTCTGATAGATGTAGTCATTGAAAGTTATTTGCAGGCTTCTTTTGTTTAAACCAAATTTCCACTCTGGGCTTTTTATCATCAGTTAGAATGTCGATCATATCCATGCAAATTTTGTTGAAATTGGTGCTTCCAATTATGGTAAAGACAGGGATGTGTAGAATACACGTCACTAATCTCCCATTAATTGTGAGGTTAGTGTCAATGCGCTTTGACGTAAATACCAACCACTAGATTTTATTATTACAAAATATAGTTTATATAGCACTCTGTGTCCTAGTGGGAGTAATTAACAACTCTCCACAACAGATTTACAGACTCCTTTACTTTCCCACTCGCTTCACCAAGTGATACAATCTGTGCCTAACAGCCACAAGCTTTTGCAAACCAATCTGATCAACAAATTTGACCCGGGAGCAAGTAGGGTTGTAAATCCATCACAATCCTCGCTTCTGGTCTATTGATATAGAATCCAAAATCCTCTTGAAGACCATTCCACTTAGGCAGAATGATATCTCTCCTGGCGTGAGGCGTAACAGGCTGCGTCGTAGTGCCTTCCTCTTCACCACTTCTCTAGAAAGTACTCCGCGTCACTACGAGGCGTCCTTCCTCAGTACATCGTACAATACGCCCTCTCCTAAGCCTCAAGTCTTGCGCCTAGTGAACCTGTTCCTGATAGGTCTCCACCTAAGCTAAACCACGGTCAAACTTAACACTTGGGGTGAAGAAAAAGCTGCCATAACTTCGCAGTAGTACTTGCAAATACAATTTGAGGCATGAATGCTCCAGTTTTAAATTGGGACAGCTACTATGTACTTTTTCTCCGATATTGTGTCATAGCTAGATAGCTGCATACGCGATTAAAATCTGATATAAATAAAGCCTTTTTTTTTTGAAAATACCATCAATTCATCCTCTAATCCAGCAAACGACGTCTCTCTAAAAGTCTGCTTTAGAAAGCAAAGTTGGCAAGCAGCTAACTCGCGATCAATGCATAGAAATAAGAACATGAAGAAGACTTGACTTGACATTACAAAATATAACCAATGAGCTTCGCTTTGCAACAAGGCAAGTACAGCGTGCGATTATTCGAGAGGTTAAGAATCCTCCCCCTCGCAAGGGACGCTCGCTAGAAAAGTGCGGTTATTAAGCAGAAAAGATTAGAGTTTGCCCAATTACATTTAGATTGGAGCGAGGAACAATGGAGTCGAATAATATGGACTGATGAAACCTGGGTATCGGGTGATTCTCATACGAAGCCTTGTATCACAAGAAAAGTGATTGAAGGAAGATATGATTAGAAAACTGTACTGCCGGTAAATTCCTAAAGCTTATTGCGTATATTATTGTACCTACTACTAAGTTCTACATTTATGATACATTCTATAGACCCTAGTTCAGTACGCGTATCACATCATCAAACTGGCAACCACAAATTTTCAGAAAATCGCGAATTTGAAGTCAAATTTAGTATAATCTATGCATTAAGCCGAGCAGATTCCGAATATCTAATCCAAAATTTTATCTGATAACTGGTTCAAGAGTTACTAAGACTCAAAGTTGGATCAGGAGATTTAAAGTCAAATTTGGGTGAAAGCCCCAACCATTCAATATGCAACAATTGTCAACAGCAAGCAATTGAATCGAAATTTTAACTACAAATATTTCAGATACACCTCCAAGTGATCATAAATTTTCAGCTAAATTCAGCCATT